GCCTGTTACTCAATGAGGGTGGGGGAGGGGAACAATAACAGAAAATGTGGAAATGGCAGAAGCCTAAGTCTAAACTTACTAAATTATTAATAATAATATTAATATTTAAAAAATATTGTTTCAGGGGTGGTTTTTTGTTTGTTTTCACCAAAAAGGTTAGTAGCGATTGGGCATCTAACATAGTGAATGCCAGTGAAAATGAGGTAGGATCAGAGGCTAAAATAGGGAAAGAGCAAGTTTAAAAATTACTTAGATAAGTTAGATGTCTTCAAGTCACTAGGGCCTGATGAAATACATCCTAGAATACTCAAGGAGCTGACTGAGGAGATAGCTGAGTCATTAGCAGTGATCTTCAAAAAGTCATGGAAGACAGGAGAGATTCCAGAGGACTGGAAAAGGGCAAATATAGTGCCTATCTATAAAAAGGGAAATAAGGACAACCCGGGGCATTAGACTAGTCAGCCTAACTTCAGTACCCAGTAAGATAATGGAGCAAATAATTAAGCAATCAGTTTGCAGAGACCTAGAAGATAATAAGGTGATAAGAAACAATCTGTGTGGATTTGTCAAGAACAAATAGTGGCAAACCAACCTAATGGCTTTCTTTGACATAACAAGCCTTGTGAATGGGGGGAAGCAGTAGATTTGGTATATCTTGACTTTAGTAAGGCTTTTGATACTGTCTCGCATGGCCTTCTCATAAACAAACCAAGAAAATACAACCTAAATGGAGCTACTATAAGGTGGGTGCATAACTGGTTGGAAAACCATTCCCAGACTAGTCATCAGTGGTGCACAGTCATGCTGAAAGGTGCATATTGAGTGGGGTCCCGCAGGGATCAGTTCTGGGTCTGGTTCTGTTCAACATCTTCATCAATGATTTAGATAATGTCAGAGAGCGTACACTGATAAAGTTTGTGGATGATACCAAGCTAAAAGGGGTTGCAAGTGGTTTTGAGAATAGGATTAAAATTCAAAATGATCTGAGAAAAGTGAAGAAATGGTTTGAAGTAAATAGGATGAAATTCAATAAGGACAAATGAAAAGTGTTTCTTCCTAAATGGAATAATCAGTTGCACACATACAAAATGGGAAATGACTGCCTAGGATGGAGTGCTGCGGAAAGGGATCTGGGGGTCATAGTGGGACCACAAGCTAAATATGAGTCAACAGTGTAACACTATTGCTAAAAAAGCAAACATCGTTCTGGGATGTATTAGCAGGAGTTTTATAAGCAAGACACAAGAAGTAATTCTTCCGCTCTACTCCACGCTGATTAGGCCTCAGCTGGAGTATTGTGTCCAGTTCTAGAAGCCACATTTCAGGAAAGATGTGGACAAATTGGAGAAAGTCCAGAGAAGAGCAACAAAAATTATTAAAGGTCTAGAAAACATCACCTATGAGGGAAGACTGAAAAACTGAGTTTGTTTAGTCTGGAGAAGAGAAGACTGAGAGGGGATGTAACAGTTTTCAAGTACATAAAAGGATGTTACAAGGAGGAGGGAGAAAAATTGCTTTTTGTCCTATCCTCAGAGGTTAAGGAGAACAATGGGCTTAAATTGCAGCAACTGGTTTAGGTTGGACATTAGGAAAAACTTCCTAACTGTCAGGGTGGTTAAGCACTAGAATAAATTGCCTAGGGAGGTTGTAAACTCTCCATCGTTGTCTAGCCTGCTCTTAAAAATCTCCAAACACCTGTCAGGGATGGTCTAGATCAGTGGTTCTCAAACTGTGGGTAAAGACCCAAAGTGGGTCGTAACCTCATTTTAATGGGGTTGCCAGGGCTGGCTTAGACTTGCTGGGGCCTGGGTCTGAAGCCTGAACTCCACTACTTGGGGCTGAAGCTGGAGGGCTTCAGCCCTGCGCAGAAGGGCTCAGGTTACAGGCCCCCTGTCTGGGGCTAAAGCCCTTGGGCTTTGCCCCCTCCCCCAGCCCAGGGTGGTGGGGCTCGGGCGGGCTCAGGCTTCAGTCCCCCATCCTGGGGTTGTGTAGTAATTTTTGTTATCAGAAGGGGGTTGCAGTGCAGTGGAGTTTGAGAACCCCTGGTCTAGGATAATACTTAGTCCTGCCATGAGTGCAGGGGAGTGGACTTAGATGACCTCTCACGATTCCTTCCAGTCCTATGATTCTGTGTCATAATCTGAGAGGTGAAACTCCCTTCCTCATTATGGTCTGAAAGGGTAGAGATAAAGGAAAGGGGAAGAGGCTCTCATTTCCTGCTCCTTTCTCCATAAAGTTCCTGTTTGGAGTGGGGATGGGGCAGTGAAATTAAAGTTAAACACCATAGTAATACAAATTAAAATGCATTCCCAAGGGAGTTACAGTAAATAGACATAAATTTTAATTTCTTAATTTCTGTTAATGCAAAAATGCATAATGTACATTTTTGTACTTGACTCTAATTTGCCAAAAAATTTACAGTAGAAAATCACAGGACTTCCCACAAGCTACTGTACTGACACACCAAGGAATTGATATGACCTATTGTAAATAGAAGTATTTATCTAGCAGACTGAGTACTTAGACGTAATTATTATGCTTTTTGGTTATCCTCTTTCCACACAATAAGAGCTTTACAGCATTTGTCACATTATTCTAATCCCACATTTTGTAGTGTAATAGAATTACTACCAAAATAATGTTGAAACTAGATACTTTAAAATACATTTGGATTGAACTTTGTGAAATCAAGGGTAAAGATATTAGAGGACAATGGTGAGCTGCAGTGCTTTTATGTAATAATTCTTCCGTGTTAGCCATATGCAATCTCATTAAACACAGCTCACATCTTATAAAAAGAATGGTTCAACCAGATAAAGATGGACTATAGAACCTTGTTAAAAAGAGGGTCAGCTGTTCAAACAGTCAACTAGACAAATTGACACACAGCTCTAATATGATTGTTTTTCAAGATGGCCCAACTTTCTGAGGTTGAATAACTATTTTTACATGTGAAAAGTGTTGGATTGATTTTTATTTTTTCTAGAAAATTAATAGATCACTCTGTAATCCAATCAGTCATGGCTGGAACGAATCTAAAATTAGCAGTTGGATAAGATCCAGCCACAATTGATAGGATTACATAGTGATTTCAAGTACTATATGAATATTTAAGACTCAAAATTCTTAGGAAAAACTATTTTAATTGCAGAAAAAACAGACAAATTGTTTACACTGGTCATAATTTGAGTGGGATGGAGGCTTGAAAATTAAGGCCTGTAATGGAAGTCTGGATGCAGTCTTAACTTCAGAGTCAATATTGTGTCTCTAACATGGTCTCCAACCTCCACTTAATCTAGATAACAGCCAACTGATTTCCCAGAGCGGAATTGTTTACAGTGGCATAAGGGGTACTGCTGCCTACTGTGATTTAAAAAGTGGGGCGATTGGGGTAAGTGGGAATTTAAACTACATATTGGCAAAAATAATTTCCAAAGAGGGAGAGGTCTCTTGAACAGGAAAGTGGAAGCACCATCAATTAGTCATTCAAAACTGAGTTGAAGAAAGCATTTAGGAACATACTTGACAATCCAGCAATGAAACGGAATATAGTAGTCTCTTTCCACTAGACTTGTGGACTGCAGAGTGAAAAGCTGAAAGAAGAAAAAATGGCAAAATAAATGGTTAAGCATAGGGTGGAGAGTGTATTTCTGCATTTCTTTCGGTTGCCAGTCTTAATTAAAGTTGGTTAATTAGATAAGTAGGTGAAAAAAACTTGTTCCCATTAAGTTTTATATGTGCTCTTCCACTGAACACCTGTTCCTGTGTTTCAGATTTCGGTGTGGTTGAGAGAAGTGGAAAATGGCATTCCCTGCATGCAACCTGTAGGGAGTGAAGGGGGGAATATGAAATTAGGGGCCCAGACTTGTGTTTCTACTGCACCAATTTTAGCTTTAGACACTTCAAGGGTGTAAGGAACTGCATTCTTGACATTGTTTTTAATCCAATTTAAAGATGATGATATCTGTAGCAGGGTAAACCAGAACCCCAGAAGTCAGATCTTGGCAAGTCAAGGAAGGAGAGAGATTTGAGAAAATGTTTAAAAAAAAAAAAAAAGTAAAAAAAGTATTTAACTTATTTAATATTAATTAATATTTTTTAAATTTTTCTTTTTTCAAGAAATGTACAAAAGCTATGCAGTGCAATGAGCACTCAAATTAATAATTACATACACTAAGACAAAGGAATGCAGACATTGTTATCTATTGCTGTCAACTTCTAGCTTCTGTTTTCTGACAGGAAATGCCTGGCTTCTAAAGATGAATGTGTATTAGTTACAAATGTCATCTATAAAATATAGGTTTTAGTAATGACATAACATAACCCACTTACATGCAATTCATCCACGTAACACCAAACTTGGTACCTGTAATTTTTTTTACTGTGTATTGGTTAATGGATTGGGATTTTAAACTAAGATTCTGCAAATAGATCATCTTTGTGTACCACTGTATCTGTGCAGAGCCCCATTGATGTAACTGAAGAAGAGCATCCCTAGAGGGATCCATGTGTAGGTTCTAGCCCTTACTAATTAGTACTGTAGTGATTTTAGTCCACCTTTTAATATTATATATAAATAAATAAAAAAACCAGGCGAACTTTACTGTTAAATATTTAAGGTGCCTGATAAGTAGCTTGTCAATTGTCATCAAAATGATCAATTTCTCTCAAGAAGCTCAGAAATCCTCATTTTAAACTAGAAACTCCCCTATGTATTTTTAATTCATAACTTATGCATGGATGTAAAAGCTTATGAGAAATTCATATAGTATCTAAGTACTGTTACTGGCTAAACACACAAGCATGGCTCACATAAAAAGAAGAGTATATAAACACCTACGTATATTGGCGGGAATAATATGAAAGCATTGATTTCTTTCTTTAACAAAATCATTAGTCACTTGCAGAAACCCTTCAGTTGTATTCATCTTTAGATGTTGTTGCATGTTTCTTTTACACCTCAGCTCAATATATATAATTTTTTTTGTTTTTTGGTGAAGCCTTGCAGTGAGAGAGTTTCTTTGTTTGGATGATCCACCAGGTCCATTTGATAGCCTAGAAGAGAGCAGGGTAAGTGCTATATAACATCATGTGACAAGAACAAATAGTAAATATAGAACAATAATCATGTTTGTTTTTAGAATATTGTAAAATATTGGCGGAATAGAGCAGAATGTTACAACTAAGACATTTGTTTCCCATATGGCATTTTTCCTGTTTAGCTGAGGTAGACTTTCATTCATTCATAATCAGAAAGTAGTAAATGCTTATGCTTAATTCTAAAACTGACCAACCATTTTTGAATGATCTGGGCCCGTTAATAATCTTTTGTCCTCTTCTATTGATACAATGATCTCTAAATACTTTGTCCCCAGGGGTTGCTACAGTATACTAGTTGTTGGCACACGTGAAGTGGGTAAGATAGCTAGAGTGTTAATGGCAAAGGTCTAGTTTAGAGTATGACCAACTACAGGATAAAGTTACTGAAATTGTATGTCATAGTTGTACAAGTTAGTTTTCTGGCTTCACAGTAGCATCAGCAAAGTCCCAACCAGCAGGAATATTCCAGGTGGTGAACAGATGGTTAATCCAGGCCATTTACATTTAGTAAAAGAATCTCATGTTTCTCACATTGAGTTACTTTGCAGATAAAATAACTCTGATTCAGACTGAGCTGTCTGTTGTGGCAGCAGTCTTCCCTTGCTTGAATTTCGGTTCAGTGAAAACTTCAGCAATGCTTTTTGCAGGGAGCACATTACCTTGATGCATTGTAATTTATGCTGTCAGTTTATTTCTGGATGCAGTCTGAAGTGATGGTTGAGACCTATAAAGCCATAAACAAATTGAGGCATGGCTGTCCAAAGCTAAGTCTGCATTGGGGAATTTTAAAAGAATCTCACTGGTTCAACTGAACTCGTATTAATGCTGGTGGAAGCTAGAATGTAGATGCAGCTCCTTCAGCCGGACCCATTTTTACCACTGAAGAAACTTGGATCCCAACTTCTGACCATCTCTCTCTGGGCACATTATTGTGTACATCTGCAAGGATTCAGTGTATCATTTTGTATAGTATACACTTTCATTTAGAAGATGGTGAAATCAGTTTTCGTGTTAACCATTTCATTGTAAACTCTGAGGTAAAAACAAACCATTTTTAATAATGCAAACTAATTGAATGACTAGTTCACGCTCATTAAACAAGCATTCTGTTCATAGCGATAATGATCATACACACATTTTCCTGATCGGTATCTCAAGCTTAGATTCTGTTATCGCTAATCCATCTCCCTGCCAGCCTAAGAACTTGCATAGTACACTTACTAATGTTTAGTCCCATGCAGATTTCAATAATTTCTTTGGGCAGCAGGTATGCGGTCTTTAGTGGAAATCCATATTCCAGGGTTATTTTTGTAAAAAATAAGTACCCATTTAGCACAATTAACAGCTGCTTTGTGGAATCTTAATTCAGTCTGTACATTTTTCTTTCTTTGTGGACTATTTGTGACAAACATTTAGGTGCATTAATCTAGCTGTTCATACACTTTTGTAAGGAATTTGTATAAATGTTTTACACTATTTGTACATATATAATGACCAATCTCTAAACCCTAAATACTCTGACCTTCTGCAAAATACAACAGAATCCACATAAATGGCTTCCTGAAATGGAACGCCTGATTAATTGGAGTCATTGTTAGGGGTTCACTGAAAATGTTCACTGTGAAGGTTTCATTGGGTGCTGTGTGTTTTCTGGAAGACTATTCCTGCTATGAACAAAACTCATGCTAAACTGACAATTTGTTTCTAATGGCCTAGGTAAATTAAGGTGAATTTACTATACCATAGTCAATAAGATGAATTAACTTTTAAACCATGAAGTAATATAAAATCAGATATCTTTTAATGTATAGAAATGTCTCTGAATTAGGGATACATTGTTTTGTTTCAGATCTATATAATTGTAAATATTACCACCAATTTCATTAATTGTTATTCAGCGATGGATTTGTTGAAGCAAAATACAGTATCTTTCCAAAACACATTTTTACAGGTGACTTTTAGACCTCTGAAAAACAATAAAAGTGCTGACACTATCTTAACTGTAGCATACAGGTAACTTCACTAATATGAACCATATTACTTTTGACGTTAATAGGGCATAGCTCTGTCCAAAATGTTCACATTTAATAAGTCCAGTGAATCAATGGTTAACTGCATGTAATATAAACCAAAAAGTTCACCTCTGAGTTGGATGGTTTCATTATTTAGTGAAGACACATACATTATTAAATCAGAAGTGCTCATTACTGGTGGCAGACTTACTGTTAACAGTAATAGAACAGTAGGCTAGATGCCAAGATTTATACCATATCCTGCACTAAATGGATATATAGCAGTTTACTTTAGCCTTACACATTAAAACTGGAGCGAGTTCACTGCGAAATTCAGTAGGGTATACATGCAAGGATTACCTTGCAGAATGGGGACCTACTTTGTCAATCCTGTACATTTATTTTGCAGTTGGTTAATTAAATGTCAGTGGTGTGACATAGCAAAAGTATTTCAGTTGTGGTATGGTGTAATAAATGGTTCAAAGCCAAGTTGCATCTTTTTATTAAAGACAAAAGTACAACTTTTAAAGCTCATTAGACAGCTGTTCAGGGGATCAATACAAAGAAAAGCAATTATAACCCTGTAATTATTATATATTTTTAAAAGAAAAGCCGTAAACTCAGTCCACTGTGGTGACAGGCAACTAACCTTGACATTTTCTTTTAGGCTTTTTGTGAAACTTTGGAGGAAACTAATTACCGTCTCCAAAAAGAACTTATTGAAAAACAAAGGGAAGTGGAATCATTGAAGAAATTATTAAGTGAGAAACAACTTCATATAGATACTATAGAGACAAGAATTAGGTATGTTGTGGCTTCAGTATTTTCAAAATTTCACAGACTGATATTAGTAGCTATCCAGATACATCAGTCAAGTGGCTGCGCAGAAGGCAGTGTTTTAAATAATGCTTTCTCATACATTGAGGGGCTAGCTAAGGAAATGTTCTGTGTTTGGTTTTTAAATCATTTTGCCAATCGTACTGTTCCGCCTCCTCTAAGATCAGTGAGAACAGGTAAGAATGTTAAGTACAGTCTAAACTTTGCCTCTACAGTTCTTGGTGTGTGGAATGCCTTCCTGAAGGTGAGAACAGTGGTATATTTGGCTTGCTGTAGAAGTTATAAAGTTCCCCTGTATTTGAAAGCCTTTGACATGGCAAAATGATTGCTTGATCTATTCTTGTGGTTTTCTCTCTTGTATTTCATGTGTGTTTATGGTTTTAACTTTGTTGCTCTGAGGTGCTTGGTGTGCTGCAGCAGATAGACAATTTGTGGTGCTGTTTCAGAGCTCTTTAAATCAAAGAAAAAGTGGCAGAGCTTCATAATAAAATTTTATTGTGCATATCTGCTAAAGTGTGCAGCAGACCCAGGGGAGATGATGTTGGAATATTGAGAGTTCTGCAGGACCTGCTGAATCTATCATTCTGGAATTTTTATTTGGAAAGGAATGAGTCCTCACAGCCATGTTAGAAGCTTTAAAAGCTCTAGGGATGTGTACTATGGCCTATACAAGTTCACTAAAACAATGAATATGGTGTTGGATGCATGACTTGAATTTAGTCATTAACACAATAAGAAAATAGTTTGAGGAAATGTTACTGCAGCTATTACAAAAAAGATTAAGAAAACTCACAAGCCACCAGTCACAATAAACAAAGATATAAGTATTATTCTTTTTATAGCTTAAATTTCAACCAATCTTAAAATAGACGGTATTAAGATTGTTTTCAAACAAATTTTAAATGTTTCCCATCCAACTGCGGTTTCTTCTTTTCATAACACTCTACCTTGAAAACAGCTTTACCTTTTTTTTTTTTTTTTTTTTTTTTAAAAAAAGGGTAGGGTAGGGATTGGAGGAGATGTTTGTATGGGTAGGAAAAGAATAAATTTGATTTGGAGAGAAGAGATGGAGGCAAGAATGAGAAGGAATTAATGAATAGTATGAAAAAACAAACAGCTTTGTACTTCATTCATGTTACCATTAAGTGCCAGATATATTTCCCAGATGGAATATGCTCTGGGGACAATCCATAGTCTCATGGCAAAATATCCATTTTTAGCCAGGATCTGTAGTACAGGAACTTGCCACTGACCTAGTAACTTTTGTCCCATCATGCTTCAGGACAGACCTGTTACCTTTCTATGTTTCATTGTTAATGAAACACTATCCTACTTAGGCAAACTTGTGAAAAGATCTGTGTGTTTGTTATATCAACCAATACCACTTATTTTCTATCATTGGCAATTTTCTATGACCTGTGTTGTACAGGAGGTCAGACTAGATGATCACAATGGTCCCTTCTGGCCTTGGAACCTATGAAGGAGAGCCTTAAAAAATAGTGTCTAACATTCATCTGCATTTGCTACTAATCTCTTACCTGAAGTCATAGTCCTCTGGGGCATCAGAATCATTTTGCAATTTGAAGGACGGAGGATTAGCTTCAGGTGAGGAATAAGCAGCTGGAGCAGATGAGCTGCTCCAAAACAAAGATCCTGTGTAAACTATGGAACTTTCTAATAATAAAAGAAACAAGAGGGGTAAGTAGAGGGAATGATAGTTGTTTCTAAACAAAATGTCCCATTTAAAATGAAGCATTAGTGGCTCTTCAAGTGCTGATTCACTATTGAATGTTTTGCCATAAATATATTGGTTGTATTCTACATAAATGTCTCTCTTGAATTTGCTGTAGGGATTTGTCTTTAGGAAATGGGAAAACGCGCAGAATGTCAGGAGAAGAAAGCGAGTGCAGTGGCGAGGTGGAGTCTTCTGCAATAGAAGCAGATCAGGGCGCCTTGGGAGATGACAGCTGGTAAATGCAACTTTATTTTTTAACTTAAAATACTTTAAGTACATGACTGCATAGACATACTACTCATCTTTTTGCACAAAACGGTTTACTGCACAAAATTAGCAGCTGTACACCGTGTTTGATATGGACCTTGGAGAAGAGGAGGAGGTAGACTTGCAGTGAGTAATAGTTACCTAATTTTGCAAATGTTTTGCAGATGGCATGAAATTAATACAGAGCAACAAACTGGTTTCTGTATGACATACTTATTGATCTGTTGTTGCAGCTCTGATAAAGAGAATCATGAGACGTGCTGGAGTGGCTCATTGGCTGAAAACTCTGTACCAGAAATTGAAGTTGCTGAAGTAGCATATACTGCTGATGAAGAGGAATAAATTAACAGCAGCTGTCATTACCTTCAAAAGTTTCATAATGCTTGGGACAGACTATTTGTAGGTAAAAGCATGCAGTAGCTGTAAAGAATTTACAGCAAAGAGCAAGAATGCACACAGTTATTGTTTACATAAACAAATCCTTACAAATTATTCACATAGGAAATATACTCATTGCTGCTTTGATTCAGTTTTTATCCAGCCTTTATATATTTAATATATTATACAATCTAATTGGGGCTAAATTCAGCTATGCCTAGATTCTTAAGTACTGAACACAGAAGATCATGATGATTTGCTAGGGTAGTGACTAAAGCTACGTATATGTAGTCACCAATCACATGTGACGTGTTACGTATTGCATGTTGCTACAAATGTGATATATTTAATGTGTTCATCTGTTTGATGTTTTTTTTTTCCCAAATTCTTATATAGCCATAAATTAATGCTCATTGACGTAAAGACGAACACAACTTGGGTTTAATCAGACTATAGGAGTTACCATGTTTTTAAAGTTCTAAATGAAAATCATTTCTCTGGAATTTTAATGCAATAAAATAAGACTTGCAGTGACAAAAGAAAAGGATTTATGAAATGGGATGATCATTGGACATTTTAATAAAACAAACTTGTTGTCGTTGCTGAAAGGAGTGAGCCATGGAAACCCAACACATGGTGTATGTTCATCACATTATAGCATGTTGCAATAATTGATTTAGTTCAGTAATGCATCTTTAAAATCCCACACCTTTGTGTCACACCCACTTAATGATAAAATCACTGATGTTGCCTTTTATCCAGAACACTACCTCTTACCTTCTTGCTAATGCATACATACTTTGGTTTTTTTAAAAAACCAATCTAAATTATATGTAGATGACTGAATGACTTGTGAAAATAAAAAAAAGCCATATTTTTTCTTCACATTCATAATTAGGTTGAATCTAGTTGCAATGTATTTTTGTTTCAATATATTGTACACATGGGAATATTGCTACAAAACATTCTATAGCCTATTTTTCAAAATGTATTAAGCCAAGTGATGCACTTTATAATAATTAAGACTCGTTTGTGCCAAGTTCAATTGGCTAATTTCTTTTGAGAAAGGGGAGTTGCAGGGAGGGGAGAGGATTATGTTGTGCCTTTTTGTATTTTACTTGTTCATTACTACAGAAGTTTGCTATAGTACTGTGGGTCAGCTTTATGAAATCTTTCATACAGCTTGTTTCTGTTCTGTACATATTTACTGAAAGTGCCTTGTTTTCTTCTGCTCTTCTAGTGGGAAGAATGCCCCCCTCCCCAGCCGTATCACTCACTCCTTTGTTTAATGCTGTTAATATGCAGTGTCTGTGTGCTGGAGTTTTCAAAGCTAACTTTGTATTTCAGGCTGTATATATAATCTTTATGCAGAACTGTATGAACCCTTCTGAGGAAATAAAACTACAGACATCACATCAACTTTCTTTATCTGTTGGTAGAAAGATTTTCAGTACCTTGTGAGAGAAAAGTATAAAAATATGTTTGAAAGACAAATCTGCAGTGTCTCATTTATGTCATACAGTTGTTCAACTTCTAGTCTAAACTGTCATTTTTGTACCAAAATTTAATGTCTGCATGAAAATGTAGGAATGCTGCACAACATATCAGGAAACGTACTGTACTTCTACTGAAGGTAAAATAAAAAGTGATTTAACAGTTTGAATATCCTCCTGGGATAGCCTTTAAGGCATCCAGAGAATTCAATACAATTACTGACTTCTGGTACAATTTACAGTTACATATCTTTTTTTGATAACTTGTCATCAAATCCCAGCAATCACTTACATGTTTTAAAAAACAGGTCTGAACTAAATGTACTAAAATAGTATTGGTTTTAGGTTTACAAATGTTTTAAAAAAAATCTTGAAAGAATTTCGCTGATCATTTAGACAACTCTATTTTAAAATTCTCCACCTATGTAAATTTTCTGTCTGCCTTTACTCATTTAATGAATACAAGCCTAAATACAAAAATTTTACAAAGCAGTTAAATGGGAGGGTCCAGAGTTGTGGGAGGAGATTTTGTTTTGCCCTGCCCTCTGTAAAGATTGTAGTACAGTAGAACACCAGAGTTACGAACTGACCAGTCAGCCACACACACCTCATCTGGAATCAGAAGTACTCAGCAGCAGCAGAGACCAAAAAAAAAAAGGCAATTACAGTACAGTACTGTGTTAAACTTAAACTACTAAAAAAAATTAAGGGAAAGTTTATAAAAAAAGATTTGACAAGGCAAGGAAACAGTTTGTGCTTGTTTAATTTAAATTAAGATGGTTAAAAGCGCCATTTTTCTTCTGCCTAGTAAAGTTTCAAAGCTGTATTAAGCCAATGTTCGGTTGTAACTTGAAAGAACAACCATAACGTTTTGTTCAGAGTTATGAACAACCTCCATTCCTGAGGTGTTTGTAACTCTGAGGCTCCACTATATGCCTCTGTTCTTATAAACTGGGCTTTAATTGCCATATCTTGTGTGCAGCCTCTATTTCCTTTGAGCACACTTCCTGTTGGTACCTCTCAGATACTTATGTGGATTGACACAGTGGGTTTTTAAATCAATTATTCATACAGTGCATTTGAAATGTACTGACTAAGGCTTCCCTGTAATAGACCCGGCTAAACAAAAAATGCAATTTTGTGTGGCAAATACTTAGTATCACCTCATGTAAATAGCATACATTAGGGGACTTCAATGTAGTTACACCACTGATGGAAATACAAAAGTAATTCCTTTTCGAGTTGTGCAACACAATGTCATCTTGAACATCACCATTAGCTAGTTTTTATACCCATTTGTTTCTCTAAAATTCACTTTTTTTTTTTTTGGTAAGGTTCTTTGCAAGCTCAAATACCCTTCAATACCCTTATTTCAAACACTCTGCTTCTAATACAACAAAAACCAGCTGGCAGTGGTTCCATTCATAAGGACTGAAGTGTGGATTTTTTTTGTTTGTGCTCTCAACAATGGATGCAGCACGCAAATTGAAATCAGAGCAGAGTCAACTAATTAGATGGATTACAACCCAATAATGCCCTTGTCTCTGTTCTGCCAGAGTTGATACACTGTATCATCTACTCCAACCTGCAGGTTGTTTTCTATTAACATTGCCTAGCCCATATTGCTCCCAGAGCTAATATTCTTCCTTTCTGCATTAGTGCCTGACTACTCTTTCCTACCTCAACCACCTCATGCTTATTTAGTGAGTCTTGCTTTTAGTTCAGACTATTTCTCACCTTTATCCACAACAAGTTGGATTTTTATTTCTATCCTCTAAAGTATTTGCAATCCCTCCCAGTTTTGCATCTCTCTAATTTGATTAGTGTACTCTCATTTATTTTAGAAGGCGCATTAATGAAAACACTGAACAGTACTGAACCAAGAATGGATCCCTCTGCAACTCCACTTTGTGCCTATCCCACTTTGACAATGAACCATTAATTACTATGAGCAAAAATACTCCTTTGGGGTCTGCTCAAGGGAGGGGAGCAAATGCACAGTGAAACCGGGGCTGAAATTTACAGGCGAGTGGAGTCATGCAGCATGATCCTCCTTACAAGCTCCTGCTACCTTCCCTGTGGCTCATCTGTTTGGAACTCCACACCATTTGGGTGGCAAAGTCATAGAATGGGGATGAGGGGGTAATAAGATGCAGCCACTTCAGGTGGTAGGCTCTCTCAAACGACAATTTCTGAGAATCTACATGAGTGCACTGCTTAGAGCAACAATAAATTCCATTCCCAGTTTGGCTTCTACTTTCTCTTTATTGGAGTTAGTCCATAACTTCAGCCCAGAACCCAGTAGCAGTATGGCCAGCAATCTAGGAGAACTGGTAGTAAATGAAGCTTTCAATTCAAAACTTCATAAATGTTTTCCTGGGTTTTTGCCTCCATGACCATTTTCCAAATAGCCCTAGTTACCAGTGCATGGCAAGTTCTGGAAATCCCTGCTTAAGTCCAGCACCTTGAAATCTCTGCAACTGGGACCAGAGTTTTTGTTGCTTTTAGGGATTGTCAGGCTCCATCGGGTGTGAAGGCCAGATCACCTAACCCTCCCATGTAGTCATTAATCTCCATGTGGGGTAATGTGTTTGCTTTTCCTTGGTTTTAATGCTAGTCCTGCTTTGAATTATTTCCCCTGCCCCTTCATCCTTTTTCTCTTTGTGTATCATTAGTTCACCTGCACCGTCCTGGAGCTATTTCCTTGAGATTTCTGAACAGTGCTGTAGGACATAATGTTCATAGTTACGTACTTTACTATAAAGCTTGAGATTTGACTTTAAGAAGTTCTTCGTTATCCTGGCCTGTATCATTACATCCACATTTCTGTTGCTTAGTCTTGGACCCCAAATAATGTGACCATCTAGAGTAGATGGCGACAGGTAAGTTCAATTAAATCCTACAACATCCTATAATAAGTACTGTTCTGGGTGAACAGTAGTTGGAAACATTCTATCCAGGTGAGCAAAGCTTTTGGCTGGTTTTCTTTTCAGTTTTGATTTTTTATCTTTTTTCCTTTTAAATTAGCAGGATTCAAATGTTTGTTCTTTCTAGCAAAGGAGAAAGTGTTTTTGTCTGTCTGTCCCTGCTCTCTGCAGCTCTGCTTCAATTTCCCTCTGAGACTGTGAGGATGGATCAAATGATTGCCAATCATGATAAACTCTTCCCATGGTATTTCCTTTAGCTATTAAATGTAGCCTTTTACATTCCAATGGGATTAGGTTCTGCTGTATGTCATAGTTTGTCATTCAGAAACCTATACCTGAAATCCTGGAGTTTCTTTGTCTATAAAACCTTAACTCTAACTCTCTAAACCCTAACTCTCTGGGCATTTGTTTTTATTATGTGCTGCTTTGTCACAGCCTTGTTTTGCTGGGCACAGCTCTATATTTGGCTTTTTTCTTGTATCTGTTTCAAGGAAAATAACCCAAGCCAGGGTTTTTAATATATTTTAGAATTTGTAAGCCAAAAATTGACCTACCTTTTTTATCTCTGTGAGCATGATATCCAGTCCTATGAGTTTCCCTGCAATGCTTTGTGGTATTTTTGAAAAAGGCCAGTACTTATGTACAGCTCTAGTTTAATAAACAAAATCCTCACCCTGAAGAAACTCGAAATGATGTGATCTTTTAAAGTTTCTCATTTGAGTCTGCAGCTGATCAAACCATCTCACTGATGGGAAATAGTGTGTACTGCTAGCAGCAAGTTCCTCCTGTTGGATTACAAACTAGTTTCTAATTGGATTTAAGACTGGTGTAACAATCTTGGACAATTTTGTTATAAATTAGAGAGAAGAAAATTTGTCTCTTTAAATTTTGCCTACTGTTCCTAAAACACATTCAAAACTCTTCTAAAATCAACCATCTCTGAGTCCCAATGCCAAAGTGAGACAGTTAATACAGAGAAATATGTAATGATACCCCAAGACACATTATTTATAAAGCAGCACTTTTTCCACTGGTTGGCACAAACACTGCAACTACAGTCATATCTACAGTGTCAACATATACTTTGATTCCGAAACCAAACAAAGGAGCACCACAAGATGGGGTTTTACGCAGGCTGCCTATGCTTGAAGCAGAAAAGGCTTTTGAAAGGAAGTGTTTTGAAGTGTCATTTAAAGGTGGTAAGGGAGGCTCAGGCAGCTGTGGAGGAGGAGCAAGTTGATCACAATGTATGCCTGCATTGTAGCGCTGCTAAATAGCGCCCATTGAGTATAAATTAAAGGGCATAAGGGGAAGAAATTTTGCTCCCATTGTCACTCTGAGATCTAATGGCAGGTTTGGTTTAAAATTAGCTTGTCCTAAAGAACAGCTGGCCCTAAAATTAAAATTCATGCACAGCAAAGTGTGTATAGGAGG